AGAGAGGAAAGGAGAGAGAGAGAGACATCGATTTGTTGTTCCACTTATTTATGCATTCATTGATTGATTCTTGTATGTGCCCTGACCAGGGATCAAACCTGCAAACTTGGTGTATTGGGACATCACTCTAACCAACTGAGCTACTCGTTCAGGGCTGGGTGTGTTATTAAAAACACAGTACATGTCCCATGTTACCTTTCTAAAAACCCAGACAATTCTAAATGATTCGAATTATGAAACATACTAGACATCAAAAGTTTTTGATGAGGAATTGTGTTCAGTGTGGAGATAATAAATTGGTTGAAGATAAATTAGTCAGCATCTTGGGAATGTGAGGAAAGCAAGTGTAGAAGAGGAAAAATATCTTTATTCTGCATCCTTCTAAGTTCTTGGTTAGGTCCCCTATAACAAAAGGCAGGCTAATAAAAAAAAACTTATCAATTTATTTAACTAATTTTTACATGACATGGAAACCTTCATAAGGAAATGAAAACCCAAATAAATAGTCAAAGCTGAGTTTTTTATGCTAGGTTTAATGAAGAGTGGAGAGCTTTGGGAAAATGTGATAGGATGAAAAAAGTATGAGTTAAGTGTAGTAATCTTGGGAAAACAGCAAAGTCTGTTTTCTGCTTTTCTCCAGGTTTAGGGAGAGCATTTCTCACATAAGGTTTTCTTTCCTGCTTCTGGGGAAAGTCAGGAAAGTTTTTCCTGCACATATGCTTCTCAAGTTCCTTCAGCTAAAGATATTCTATCTGTTGGCCCTGGCTGGGTAGTTCAGTTGCTTAGAGTGTCATACTGTACGCCAAAAGGGACAGGTTTGATTCCCGGTCAGGGAGAGTCCCAGGAGACAATGGATAGATGTTTCTCTCTCACATCAATGTTTCTCTCTCTCCACCTTCCTTCTTCTCTCTCTAAAAAAATCAATAAAATCATTTCCTCAGGTGAGGGTTAAAAAGCAAACAAATAAAAGAATCAACCAATGAATGCATAAATACGTGGAACTACAAATTGATCTGTCTCTCAAATCAAATTTTTAAAAAAATTTCTATGTCAAGATGGCATATTTTGGGGAAGCATATCCTGAACACTGTCACAAGGGAGGGAATTTGTTTAGGGTCCTTACTTGGGTTGTGAAAATAAAGGTGAGAGTTTATAGTAATTAGAATATCTTTGATAATTTATTTATTTATTTTTTTGGACAATTACATATATAAAAAAAAGGACAACTAAGTAAGAGAGAATCATTCCACCAGGAAAGGTAGATGCCAATGCAGAAATGCTGCTGGCACAGTGCCTGGAGTCATAGCGGTGGGGTGGGGGCATTGCCAGTCACCTGGAGTGAGCTGGAGGCCCAGGAAGATCGTCCCACTTTTCTATAGAAGGGCCCAAGTAAATATGTCTCTTTTCCTCGCGTCCGGTTCTTGAGTAGGGGTGGCTGGGGATTGAGAAAATGAAAGAAAGAGACAGACACAGAGATAGAAGAAAAAAGCTGGGGCTGGGTGGGACCACTGTCCTCTGACAGGGACAGTGACAGAGACCCAGAGCCAATACAGCGTGCTTATTTTATACAGCAAAAAAAAGTAAGTTTTACTAAAAGTCAAGACAAAGGAGATTATGTGCATTCTTGGGTGGGCCCTAGTCGTATTCATTCCTGGTACTTGGCTGGATTTAAATAACAAAACCTACTCCCTGGCACCTGGGCTGAAGGTCAAGCTGACAACACTCCTACCTTTTGGCAAAACGTGTTTCCAGGACATGGCTTTGCCAACAACGCCACTGGCTTCAGCTTACAATAATTAAAGAAATGCCCATGTGCCTTCCCAGGTGCTCTCTACAGGCCCAGACTGAGGTGTGCAAATTACAAGTCTATGCCAAGAAGGATTTGAATTCTTTTTTTCCTGGTTGATGAGGAATTGAAAATTTCCTGATTCAATGCTGATGACATAGTTCCATATAAATAGCCCAAACCATCTGGACACAATCAGGCCCTTCCTGAACCTGCCCTCTTGGAACAATGAGTCTTCTAACAGCCAACTCTGCCTTAGTGTGCAAAAGCATATGAAATTATTCCACTAGCAATGGAAAGACACAGGTACATCCCAAGACAATATTTTCTTCTGAAGAGAATTTCTGATTGCTACCCATTTCTGGTATTGGAGCCATGGAAATACATCTGCCATAGATCTGCAGAATTTTTGTTAGTAGATAGAAGTCATTTGTTTTCACCTCTCAATCAGTGAAGGGTTTTCAAGCTAGAGGATGTCAATTACCACTAAATAATAATGAGGTGATGATACCTCACCTTTATGCAGCACCTACTCTTTGCACAACGCTAGGTGCCTTGCAAGGGTGATCTCATTAAATAATGTGAATAGCTACCATTTCTTGAGCACCTTCTCTATGCCAGGCACTTAATTTAAACACATTTAATCCTCACATCCTATGAGCAAGCTGAGTAGTATCCTCACCTGCCATTTCACTAAGAAAGAAACTGAGGCAAGAGAGTTAAGGAATTTATCTGTAAGACAACAGAGTGACTAAGTGGATGAGTCAGGGTTGAGATTCAAATGTTTAACCCCAAGGATGGCCTAGGCACCATGCTGGGGTCCAGCCCCAGCGGTCCAGGGGTTCCCAAAGGCAAAGAATGAAGGACACGGAGACAGCGTTCAGGTCATCAGCACAGTTGGGTTCTTTTTTACTGTCGTGTTACAGTTGTATTTATACTCCTTGATTCTATAAGCATGCCTCTAAATCATGGTATGTTTTGGGTCCTCCCTTGACCTACAGTTCCTTGTTTTATGTTTATAGTTTCTTATCTGACCTTTGCTAAAAATCTTATCTCTATCTAGTTCTGTTGATTTTAATCCTATCCATTCTATTCCAAAGGTGAGGGCTAGTTTGTTATCTCCATTCCAAGGTCACTACACTACTACTCTACTGCTCTACTGTTAAGCTACAAGGAAGTAAAGGAGATTATCCTATTCTGTGGCCCAAGTAAAGGTTATGTCCTTTTAACCTTGCTAGTGGTCTTCCTTGGGACTGCCCTGCGTCGGCGGGTTTTCATAGGCTTTAGTACTTTCTTTGGTGGGTAGAACCCTGGGGATGTGGGCCTAGCAAGTCCCAAATTCATTGCCAATAGTCTTAGTCTAAGTTCTTCATAAGTAGTATACGGTATTTCTGTAACACTAGGGGGTTTTACTGATTTATTCCCTTCCTTAGTCCCATTAATCCCTAACTCCAGGGAAACATCCCCACCTGGGGAAACAACCTTTCTCGGGGAGGTGGCCCTGTTTAGAACACATAGCACTAAGAAGGGGAGCAAACATATTAAGAACAGTATGCCACATATACCAGGTCCCTTGAAACATATGCTGTGTGGATGTTTCTTCCCTGAAGCAACTGTGTCAAGCAGCAAGGATGGACCGGCTTTCATCAGCACCAGCCAATCAGGCTGTCGTGAGCAAGGGAATGTCCCTGAAAAGAGTAGCTCGCACACGTTTGTATCTTTCCACAATGCCAGGTTTATTAGGGGAGATCTCCCCAGTAAGCCAATAAAGTCACATGCAAGTTATACACAGAACATGGGAGCTATTGGTTTTATTTCCCTGGAGAACCCTGACTAGCCCAGAGGGTAATGCCTTAGGAGGCTGTTGTGAAATTAAATCTATGTTTAGTACTTATACACATAGTAGATGCTCAGTAATTGTTAGCTTTTTTTTTTTTTTAAGTCCTCTGATTTACACTCCTGATATTAGCAAACATAATTCTCACAAAAGTCCAAATAAAATAATCTGGGATGAACTCTACTTACTCTCCCAAGCATAATTCTTTAGTTCACTCTCAAGGTGATCTGGTCAACCCCAGCATCTTGCCCTGGAACTAAAACCTTTGCATATTCCTGGCTTCAGTTTATCTCCTCTCAGAATGTAATTTCACACTGCAACCACCACCCCAACTGAACTGAATTAAGTATTTCTATTTTCTTGCTTCCATTGCTTAAACGTATATATCTACTCTGTGGCAGTTGCATTTAATTTGTAATTGTTCATTTGCATGTCTATCTTTCCATGGCATTGTTTCTTTAGGAAGAGGACCAGATCTTTTCTTCTTAGCACCCCTCAGAGCCCAGCATAATTCTCCACATATTATAGATGCTCAGAAACTAAGCAGAATGAATAAGAGAATGAATGAACAGTTTGAGTCTCTAGTTCTGCAACATTGATTCCGGCTACCTAGACTGACTTCTTTCTCCGTTCCACCTTTTCCCACCCTCCAGACCTCAGGACACCACGCAGGTTCTCACTGTCGGGACAGACAGACACACTCCAAAAGCAAACCACATGACACACACAGCACAGAGGCTTGAGAGCATGTTCCTCTGAAATGAAGTGGGTCTTATCTGAGTTCTGAGAGAGAGAGAGAGAGACTGGAAAGAAATTTTCAATTCCAGGTTTGGTTTCACAGGCAGCAAGAACTTTTAAAAACTGCTTCCAGAAGAGAAGGCCCTGTTTTCTAGTGCATCAAAGGAAAGGTACTTTGATTTAAAAATAAGAGTAGCAGAGCCCAGAGAGTTGGAGAACCTTTCACTTATTCTGTTTTGGGAGACTGGCTAAAACAAAGGAACGATGCTGAGTGGATGTGCTGATAAGTCTCATCCCATCATTGTTTACATTTTTTTAGCTTGAGGGTCTGAGATCCTTTTAAGAATCGAATGAAAGGAAGAGGCTATCTTGCTAGAAAATACGTTTATAGGCTTTTGCCTGGCTGGCACATGTTTCTGTCGGCCTTGCACGCTTTTGAAGAAGTACATTTGCCTGTCCGAGCGATTTTCAAGTTCCCGTGGCGCCTGTCAAGAGCATTTCTAACCACCACACCCCCGGCCACCAGCACCCACTGAACAGACCAGGGCTGGCGACTTGGCCTCTGACCAGGCAGGACGGGGTAGCACCGCCCCCGAGGCACTGACCCCGCCACGGGCCTCCCCTTCCGGTCTCCACAGCCCCAGGATCTGGCTGAGCGCCTCAAGCAGCCTGGCCTGCGGGGTCGGGCTTTGCCTGTCACCCGGCAGGACGGGGTAGCCCCGCCCACGAGGGCGGGTCTCCAGGACGGAGCTTCCGGTTCCCACCTGTTCCTTCCCAGGTAATGGAGGCGCGCGCCCGCCTGGCGGAGTTGGTGCGCGCGGGCCGTGCGCGTCCGCTGTTCACCGTCTGCGGGGCGGCCGCGGACCCCTCAGCGGTTCAGGGCGAGTCCGAGCCCCGGGAGCCGGTCCGGAGGAGCCCGCGGAGCGCCCGCTGCCTCCCCTTGCGGGACGCCAAGTGGAAGTGCGGCAGGTGAGCCTGGCGGGGCAGCGGGAGGCAGCACCCCAGACGGCACTGGGCAACGAGGGACGGGGAGGAAGAGAAGTCGAGAGTGAAGAGAAGGACAGAGGAAAGGTGTTCTGAAGGCCGAGGGAAGCGAGTCTCCGCCCGAGCGGAGTGCCCCCTGGGTCACATGCCACTGCGATGCCTCGAGGAACACTAAGAGCCTAATGAGGGCATTGGATTTGGCTGAGAGCGTGTGTGGGTACATCGTGTCCCACTTATACTGGAGCCCGGAAAGCTTTAGATTTGGCAGTGGAAACACAGGTTATAAAGGACAGGTACGCTTAGTGTTGTTGGAAGTAAGGCGAGCCCCCAAGTCAGGGGTCCTGGTGGAATATAAAACATACTCGGGAGCCAGGCAGCAAGGCAAACATCTTTACCTCCTTTTAGAAGGGTGCGCACTCATGGTCTGGAAGCAGCAGGCACACACAGGCTGCTGGGGGATTTATAATCCCTGACACACGTGACCTGTCCCTTGCTCCTGATTGGAGCTCAGGCGCACAGTTTTTCGTGATTGGCTAATTCAAAGGCAGGGGTTGGCCTTTGCTGTTTCAAGATGGCTCCCCTGAGTCTTGCAGCCCCAAATAGTGGCTGTCTATACTGTTCTTTGACAGAAAAGATGACTTGTTTATTCTCACAATTCCCCCCTTTTCTTTATTTAAACTCTTCAAACTTGGGTGACATCCATTGACTCTCCTGCTCTGCAGTGTCTAGAAGACTGATTTGCTGTTTGGTCTTTTATGGGTTCACTCAGTGAGATAGACCACCGACTCAGAATTTAAATTTAAGAGCCGCCCTAGCCGGTTTGGCTCAGTGGATAGAGCGTCGGCCTGCGGACTGAAGGGTCCCAGGTTCGATTCTGGTCAAGGGCATGTACCTTGGTTGCAGGTGCATCCCCAGTAGGGGGTGTGCAGGAGGCAGCTGATCGATGTTTCTCATCGATGTTTCAATAAAATATATTTAAAAAAAAAAATTTAAGAGCCTTTATTAAGCTGGCCAGCTGACTACAGCGCGTCCCTCCAGTAGGGGCTTCGCAGCCTGCAGTACAGACCGAGGGTACAGCAAAGCCTTTTATCTGCAACACTGCAAAGCATGCAGGGTTCACACAAAGTTTACAAGTACGAATGGGGAGCTAAACAGAGTCACACCTGGCTGGGTTGAATCATAATACATTGTTTTTCTAAGACAATCTAGCAATTTTTCTCTGCCATGATCCCGGACCATAATACAATCGGTAACCTTTCCATGCCTTTGTCCCTCCCCCTAGCACATTCTGTAACCCTTCCATGTCTCAGTCCCTCACCTTAGCACAGGTCAATGCAGTTTCGATTAACCCTTGGCTATGACATGGGATGATGTGACATCCCATCACTGTAGCTCCTAATCAAAGGGGTGAAGTGGACACCATCGCTCTGCCGTGGTCGGCAAACCGTGGCTCCCAAGCCACATGCGGTTCTTTGGCCCCTTGAGTGTGGCTCTTCCACAAAATACCACATGCGGGTGCGCATATACAGTGCAATTGAAACTTCATGGCCCATGCGCAGAAGTCGGTATTTTGTGGAAGAGCCACACTCAAGGGGCCAAAGAGCCGCATGAGGCTCGCGAGCCGCAGTTTGCCGACCACTGGCATAGGGGATCTTGTCCTATGACATCTAAATCTAGTCCTAGCCAATCTTTTGACCTAAAGGCTGAAATATCCAAGTCATTCAAGTTATCTATAACCAATAACTTAACTGGGTAAGCACAATCCAGATTGTACACATTTCTCCAGCCCACATTGTAAGCCCCTGAAATTGCCAGATTCCCAAAGCAAATAGAACCCAGTACATGATGGTTATTAAGACAGCTCACAGTTTTCAACATTCGTTTCAAGGGGATATGTCCTGGTATGGCTGTTCAGGTTGAGGTGTGTCTGCCCTTATCCCATGTGTGATGGGTCCAACCTCACTCTGAAGTCCGAACAGCAGTCTCTGTGGTTAGCAAGACAGGTAAGGTCCTTCTCAGGAGGGTTCCAACTTGCTTCCCTTCCAAATCTTGATTAGAACAAACGTAGTCTTCTGGTCGATGGTGATAAACCAGAAACTCAAGAGTGCCTTGGGTCAGGAGGCCTTCTAACCTGAGAGAGGTTAAAGTAGAAGAGATACCCAGTACACAGTGCTTAAGAAATTGTTCCCTAGTTTCCATTGTAGGAAGATCTTGAGGCATTCCAGGGCCTATTGGAATCACCTACAGCCAACTCTAGGTAAAAACAAAACACAACACCTTTCTTAAAATTCAAACCCTAGGAAGGTTGTCAAACTTGATTTTACCAAAAGATTATATATTAAAGTGTATTAGACAGGAAAATAGGCCAGCAAACTTCAGTTCCTATGATTAAAAGATGATCTTTTTATTAAATACCTGATTAATATAACATAATTATTTTACTAGAAAAGAACTGACCAAAATAAGGCTTATTTTCTAACTTCATTTGTCCTTGGGTGTGGACAGCAAGTGACACTAATTGGATTTCTCCCATCAGTCTTCCTGAGAACTTTGGCATAAGCTATTTACCCTTCGTTTAGGGAGGCAAAATATAAATCACTGACTTTTAAGTGTCCTTGGTTTAGGGAAGACAGAGTTTTCTAGATGGTTGCAAACTGCTGTTTTAATATTTCAGTTTCCCTGGCTTACTGGCCTGTATCATTTAATCAATTTCCTTTTAACATTTTTTTTTAATAAACTTCTTATAATTTTCACGGACATTCTTACAACTTTCAAAAATATTTTTACAATTTTCAGAAATAACCACCTTTAGAAACCACCTTCTTTTTCCTTCAAAATGCATAACCATGCCTTAGTCCTTCCATTAAGCATCTCCATTCCAATATTCTTTCTTTGTGTCACACCATCAGCGATTTGTATAGACCTTTTTTTTTTAAATTGTATTAGAATTATTCATTCTTAGAAACCTTAATTTTTCAATAATTTACCAAAAAGTAAACAGCCAGCGTTTCTTAGATTAACATTTATCAACACACTTTTTGTAATTATTCTAAAAGACATTAATTAAATTTAAACTGGTTTTAATATTAAAAATTTGGTTTGGACCAATTCTTTTTTTAATCAGGCCAATAAAATATTATATCCTAGGTGAAATTTTACCACACATATTACACATAAAGACTACAATATATTTTGAACTACTAATTTTTCCAGGGGACCTCAGGCCGCACCCCCCTGCCCGGTGGGGCTTGACAGGGGACCTCAAAGTGTGTCCCCCGACCTGAGGCTGCACCCCCAACCTGGTGGGGCTTAATGGGGGACCTGAGACTGCACCCCCCACCCCGCACCAGGCTGGGGGACCTGAGGCTGTGCTCCCTACCAAGCGCCAGGCCAGGGGACCTGAGGCTGCGCCCCCTGCCTGGCAGGGCTTGATGGGTGTGAGGTCGGCCGGGTCTGGATCTTGCCCAATGAGGGTGAGGCCAGCCGGGTCTGGGTCTCATGTGATTTCAAGGAGCATGCAGATGGGCGGGGACTTGACTCTGGGTCCCATGGCGCACCCAGACTCTGACAGGAGGAAGATTTTCATATACATTTTACTAATTTTCTTTCATCCCTGACACTTCTATTATAGAGAAAGGGCAAATAGCAATATTAAAGTATTTCCTCTAATTAATTCCCTTTTAATGTGCATGAATTTCATGCACTGGGCCGCTAGTATTAAAATAAAATATGTCACAAAGTATACAGTTGAAATTACTGCAATGAGTAAGAGGACAAAGAAATCAACATTTTCATGCAATGAAAACATTTTCCTAGTTCTTTGAGGCCCAAAATGAGGAATTTGTGAAACAAACTGGATGTGCCAATGAGTGTACCAGTGTACCAATCCATTAATATTTTTTCAAATTTAATTTCCAGAGTTTTACTTTGCATAATAAGCACTATCATTTTGTGCATACAATAAATCTACATTTGGAAGAAGTATTCAAGTTAATATTTTTGTCTGTGCTTCCTTCAAGCTTCCTGAGCTCCAGCTGCTCTTTTTCCCCAAGAAGATCCATGAGACACTCCTCAGGTGAGTTCTAGTCCATAGTTCAGATTTTAGCCTCAGAAATACATCCAGGCCTGAGTAGAGGAATATGAAACAGTGGCCTCTGCTCCCTTTCACCTGTCAGGATGACCTCCCTCCTGAGAAAATCACATCCTGGGCATGATGAGGTATCAGTTTCCCTGCCTGAAGCTCGGTTCTCACCAGCTGGGCTCTCCTCATCATTCTCAGATTTCTATGATGTCATCACTTAGTTTAATGGAAATTACCATCCCCTGGAGCCAGGAGAACTGAGTTACTGCCTGAACCTACATTTTTTTCTGCAGTCTATCCAGTCACTTTCCCTGGGCCTCACTGAGACCTGTGTAGCTCCAATGGCAGTTGTCCGAGATTTCCCAGGGCTGAGAGGTTTCCCAGGAGGCAGACTAGCATGCCAGAGCAGCCGCAGGCAAACTGGGTTGAGTCAGTCCCCCTCTTAAAGGTGGAGTTTGTAGCCTGTGCGCTGGTGCACATGTGAAGTTCTTTCCCTTCCTGTTGAGGATGTGCTGATGGGTGTACCCATGTACCAATCCATTAGTATGTTTTTCGAAATTAAATTTCCAGAGTTTTACTTTCCATATTAAGCACTATCATTCTGTGCAGACAATAAGTCTACATTTAGAAGGAGGCTGTTGACAATAAATGTGGTAAGGTATCTGAGGAAACAACCCCTGCAATTAAGTGACCCCTGGGTTTCATCTAGGCCTCTCTGCTCTGGAGATGGGGAACATCTAGAGGAAGAATTCTCACAGAGCCTTATCTTCCCTAGGTAGGACAGGACTTTGTGTCATCACAAAATTATCTTCAGTGCCATGGTAACTGTTTCTCTTCATCTGTTGCTGAGCCTCGGGGAAGTCTTGTTGGAGTGAGCCAGTGCTCTGACAGCTGACAGCAGACAGATGTGGCACTAGAGCTAGAGGAAGTGGTGACATGTGTCTCCATGGGCCTTCCTGAGAGCTGCCAATTCTGGCCACTGTTGAACTCCTCATCAATTTCAGATTTTTTACTTTTAGCTAAACATGATGTATTTAATTTTCATTTTTACTGAGATGGTTTTCCCTTATAGTTAGTGTTTTTTTTTTTTTTTAATGTTATGAATGTCTTTTTTATTACTGCTTCTTTTTTATCCGTTTTAAAATTTTTTATCCTAGAAAATATGTTTCTCTTAAAGTTATTTTATGTCTCTCTAATTACTTCTGTGAGAAGGTCTGTCTTCTCCAGACACCTTTTCATCTGAAATCAGTAGCTACTCTTTCGTATTTCTGTGGCCAAACACATGAGTTTATTTATTTCAAGCAAATTACTTCAAAACCCAGGCAACAAGTGTACTTTAGGACATGGGTAACTGGCTCTTTTTAAGCTACGCATGCTCATGCAAATTCTTTTGAGGTTCTTATAGAAAGCTTTGCAATGCAATTGTTTGCCATTTTTTAAAGTCAAAGTTGGCCCTAGCTAGTTTGGCTCAGTGGAAGAGCATTGGCCTGCGGACTGAAGGGTCCCAGGTTCGATTCCCATCAAGAGCACATGCCTAGGTTGTGGGCTCAATCCCCAGTAGGGGTAATGCAGGAGGCAGCCAGTCAGTTATTTTCTCTTATCACTGATGTTTTATCTCTCCCCATCTCTGAAAAAAATAAAAATTTATTTTAAAAATAAATAAAGTCAATAGTTGACTTCCAGTGTTCTCCTTGTGATGGGCATTTCCTCTTCTCTCAGGATCACCTAAGTGGGTCAGAGCATCCTGAGCACTGGGTCTTGGTGGAGATGCCAGAATGAGAAGGCGCAAGAGTCCTGGTCCCCACCAACCAGCCTCCTGGGTGACCAGTGCTGGGCCTGGGACAGGGGCCACTGTGCCCCTGGCTGCCTCCTCTCCTGCCACCCTCACCCCGTTCAACCCACAGAGGCCCCCAGCTGAGGTTGGTGTGACCTTTGAGGATGTTGCTGTGCGCTTCTCTCAGAAGGAATGGTGCCTCCTTGATGAGGCTCAGAGACACCTGTTCCTCGAAGTGATGCTGGAGAACTTTGAACTCATATCCTCTCTAGGTTGCTGCTGTGGAGCAGAGGATGTGGAGGCACCCACTGAACAGCATGTTTCTGTGAGAGTGTCACAGGCCAAGAACCCCAATGTAGCTGTGTCCTCCCAGAAGAGCCACCCCTGTGAGAGTTGTGGGCCAGTCCTGAGAGACATTTTCCACTTGGTTGAGCAGCAGGGAACACAACACAGCCTGAAACTGTTGAGGTGCGGGGCATGTGCAAAGCAGTTTTATTTCAGCAAGAAAGCCATTGGATGCGACCAGACGCTTGCTCAGGACCATGGTGTCTGTAATGGAGTACAGTGTTTTGTGTGCCATGAATGTGAAAAATCTTTTACAAATATCTCTGTTCTCCGTCATCATCAGAAATTGCACACAGGAGAAAGACCATACGAGTGCAGTGAATGTGGGAAATGCTTTAAACAGCACTCCAGCCTTATTCGACACCAGCGAGTTCATTCTAAAGAAAAGACTCATGAGTGTGGTGAATGTGGGAAATTCTTTAGCCAAAGGGCAGTCCTCCTGAAACACCAGAGAGTTCACACTGGAGAAAAGCCATATGAATGTGATGAGTGTGGGAAATCCTTTAGCCAAAGTTCAAGCCTCGTTCAACACCAGAGAGTTCACACTGGAGAAAAACCATATGAGTGTGATGAATGTGGAAAATATTTTACCAGACTCTCTGGCCTTTATCGTCATCAGAGGCTTCACACTGGAGAAAGGCCTTATAAGTGCAGTGACTGTGGGAAATCTTTTGTCAGGAACTATCACTTGAGTGATCATCAGAACTGTCACACTGGAGAAAAACCTTATGAGTGCAGTCAGTGTGGGAAATCTTTTAGCACTAGCAATGGCCTCCTTTACCATCAGAGTCTTCACACTGGAGAAAGGCCTTATAAGTGCAGTGAATGTGGGAAATCTTTCGTCAGGAACTATCAGCTGAGTTATCATCAGAAATGTCACACTGGTGAAAAACCTTATGAGTGCGGTCAGTGTGGGAAATCTTTTACCAGTAGGAGAAGCCTCCGTTATCATCAGAAATGTCACACTGGCGAAAAACCTTATGAGTGCAGTCAGTGTGGGAAATCTTTTGCCGGTAGGAGTAGCCTCCGTTATCATCAGAGATTTCACATTGGAGAAAGGCCTTATGAATGCAGGTAATGTGGGAAATTGTTTGCCCTCAACAATCACTTGCATCATCATCAGAGTTCACACGAGAAAGGCCTCAGGATAGCAGTGAAGGTGGGAAATATTTTGCCAGAAACAGTCACTTCCGTTGTCATCAGAGTGTTCACAGGGTATGCCAATACTTTTGAAGGGAATAACTTTCAAAGATCTTGCAAAGGGCCATGTGTCCTAATGCCTGCAATTCCATGGGTGATGGTCACTCGAGTGTAGGACAATAGGGTTTAGGGGAAAGCATAATTGCTACAGAATTACTGGCATAATAAGGATTGTGCATAATTCTTAAAATGGAGATAGGTTTCATTTATCTTCATCAATAACTCATAATGCAATGTCCAAGTCAGGGGAGAGGTGAATGTTTGTAACTTTGTCATGCTATATCACTGTTGTTCAACTGCATTATGGTGAGCCTTTTTTCAGATGTGCATTTGCTATCTCTATATTTGGTTAAATATCTGAGCATATGTTTTGCCAAATCTATGAATTTTGGCAATTTTCTTTAACAATGGACAGTGAAACAAAAATGCAGGTTAGAATTTCACTCATTTTGTGTCTTTTTTGCTTGGTAGGATAAACGTTTTTCATATTGGAAAAAAAATAAAATCAACAATTGACTCAGAAAAAAGAATACGGCCGAAACTGGTTTGGCTCAGTGGATAGAGCGTCAGCCTGTGGACTGAAGGGTCCCGGGTTCGATTCCGGTCAAGGGCATGTACCTTGGTTGTGGGCATATCCCCAGTGGGAGATGTGCAGGAGGCAGCTGATCGATGTTTCTCTCTCATCGATGTTTCTAACTCTCTATCTCTCTCCCTTCCTCTCTGTAAAAAATCAATAAAATATATTTTTTTTAAAAAAAAGAATACGTTTATATGCACACAATATGCATGAAACATAATTTCGAATTCGGAGACCCTTAGAATTAAGAATCAACCTTCCATATGGATGCACCCATATATACTGACTCTCTCCTTGCTGTTTTCCCACTCTGTCGGGTTTTGGCCTACCTGGAAGAGCCCTAGACCTGTGTGACATAACATTTGAGGAGGGCAGGAACAAAGAAGGCATGAAAAGAGATCTATTCTTCCTCTCCCAAGTTGAAATGCCAAACATGGTTGTCCATAGAAGTATGCATGTATTCGTTGATCATGTTCTAGGTCAGCTATTTTCAATTTTCATCTCATGGCACACATAAACTACTAAAATTCTGCGGCACACCAAAAAAATATATTTTGCTGATCTGACAAAAAATTAGGCATAATTGCTCGGCCCAGCTGGCTTAGTGGTTGAGCATCAGCCTATGAACCAGGAGGTCACTAGTTTGATTCATGGTCAGGGCACATGCCCAGGTTGTGGGCTCGATCCCCAGTGAGGGGTGTGCATGAGGTATCCGATCAATTATTCTTTGTCCTCATTGATGTTTCTATCTCTCCCTTCTCTACAATCAATAAAAATATTATTTTAAAAATTAGGCATAATTTTGATTCATTCAAGATGGCTAGTATTGTATTGGCTATTGTTATTTTTTTTTATTTGGCAATCTAAGGGTAAAGAGGTCAGTGCCCCTGACCAAATAGTCAGGTCCTGCATGCTTTAAAAATATTTGCAGCACAATGGTTGAAAATCGCTGTTCTAGGTTATTATTATGTCTATATTTTTGGTAGCTGGTGGGTTAATAAGCTGTGAGTTCTCCTGAAGACAGAATCACTCTTCTTGTCTCTAAGGAATATGTGTTTAATTTGTTCCATCCAAACAACTTCTGAATGAGGCTTTGGAATTTAGTAAGTTGGGGACTTAGTAAGTTGGGAACAGTCTGTGTTCCATTTGTGGAAGAGGAGAAAATATCCTTTGAGACAGCCATGGAATTGGGCTAAAGCCCAAAGATGGAAGAGGATGCACATTAAAAATTGAACTACATATCCCACGACATTAGGACTCTGTATCTCTCAGCCCTTTGTGTTCTCTGTGGCCTAACGCATCACTTCTGTGGCATTGGTAGGTGTAGGGCAGGCTATGCTTCTTCCAGCTGATAAGAATTTTTATAGAAACTGGTGTGGTTTTTTTTTTTTTTAAAGAAAATCTGTCTATAAGCTTGAACAACCAGCTATTTTAATGACCTGAAGCTACCTAAGATTTGAGTAATTTGGACTCGATTTTGATATGCATCAAAATAATTAAATCAAAAAAGGGAGGATAGTGGAAAAATACCATGTAAGGAAAAATATCCTGTAACTAATTTACATCTGGAAAAATTTTTTTTCATTTGTAATGCTAACAGCAAGACACCCATGAAAAACATACGTGGTGTCAAAATAAGCCAAAGGAAAATCATTTGGGCAAATATAAAAAGGACCCCAAGTAAAATTCCCTTTAACCTTCGGTCAAGAATATGTATGTATGTTTTCAGAAAATAACTTCAAGACCATGTGGATTCCTGCAACAGAGAGGAATTCTCAGGAATGCTCCAGCCATGAAGACAAGAGGAAAAACAATCCAGAGATGGAAGACGCTGACGACGCTTTGCCATGCTAGCAGTCAGCAGCTGTGCGTCACTGCAGGTTGCCCAGGATCAAACCAGAGAGGGTCGGACCTGCATTGTCACCATTTGTCCACCATCCAGAACTGAAATATCATTGCTGACATGTACACATAAGGAACTGTCGGACATTGAAACTTGGACTCAGAACTGTTGGACATTGAAATTGGGATTTAAACATTCTTTGTTCTTAAAATGTTATGTTTAAGTTTTAAAATGTTTTGGGTTACGGATTGGCATTGTTTTGTTACTGTTTTAATAGCCAGAGTTTTGTTCTTTTTTTTTTGTTGTTAAATATATTTTATTGATTTTTTTACAGAGAGGAAGGGAGAGAGCCAGAGAGCCAGAAACATCGATGCGAGAGAAACATCGATCAGCTGCCTCCCACACATCTCCCACTGGGGATGTGCCCGCAACCCAGGTACATGCCCCTGACCGGAATCGAACCCGGGACCCTTCACTCCGCAGGCCGACGCTCCATCCACCGAGCCAAACCGGTCTCGGCAGAGTTTTGTTCTTGATGTTTAAGTTTTATTTCCATTATAGTAGCTAATAATAAAAAAAAAAGGGTGAGATGTGGGAAATTGATATAGGGTTGAGCCTCGGACTGACCTGCTGGCAAAGTCACAGACAAGTCCCAGCTTAGAGGGCTCAGTCCTCTTAGCATAATTAGGCTTGACTTTATAACACTCCCCAGATCTTACCTGGGAAGCTAATGGGCTGAGGGAAGTGCAGGGAGTGTAAACATAATCAAAACAGTTGAAACTCACAAGAACTGTAACTATGGTAACCACTGCATTGTTTACCTCAGACTATAAAAGGTCGGTGGGGACTGAGCATGGGTGGCAGTCCTTCCTCTTGAGTTGGACTTACCCGCCCGGTCCCCCAATATTTCCAAATTATCTCTTGTCTTTTCTATTTCATTTGTGTGTGGTTCCTCTTCCAGATATTGAACCCTGAACCATGCGGGACGTGGAGGGAAACATTTACTGACATCCAGATATCGGTAAATTTTCCATCAATTAAGAGATGGAAAATTAATATATAAATATTATTTGAGATGATTTATCAAAAAATAAGGCAATAAGTAAGAAAACTTACTTATTTTGATGAGAATCAATTAATTGATGGTAAACATGTAAATGTTTTCCTCCACATCCTGCATGGTTCAGGGTTCAATATCTGGAAGAGGAGCCGCACACAAATGAAAGAGAAAAGACAAGAGATAATTTGGAAATATTGGGGGACCGGGCGGGTAAGTCCAACTCAAGAGGAAGGACTTCCCGTGATGCTCCTTGCACCAATCTGACATGCTGTCCAGTAACTCATCTGGCTGTTTTATAATCAGGTTAGGACCTTCGGCCAAAATGTTGAGATCAGAGTCGGTGATCAGACAGTCCATCTCAATAATCTGGTCCTTTTCGATGTCCAATCCCATCACCTCTAGGTCCACCCAGACCATCCGCTGGGCCATGCTCTCCCCCGCCGCCATGGCTGCACCACCTTCGCGGACACCCCGCGCCCGGAACTGCCCGCGGCTCTCACCCACATCTCGCAACAACCAGGAGCGCAGGGAGCCGCCTAGTATCGCCCAGCACGCGCAGCCGCTACCCCAGCCTACAGAAAGCACAAGAGAAATTGAATAATTCATGAATGATGTGCATTTATGATTTATGTACTCTTGGTAACTCAGAGAACATCAAACACCCTATCCCCTGGCCTGACATTTTAAGCAGCATTTGGGGAAAGGGGACAAGACAGAACACAGGAGATGTAGTGTTGACTTTATATAAGGCAATAAGTAAGAAACCTAAGTATTTCTTGGGAAATAAATTCAAGGATGATGAAAATAATTGGTGGCTTTGAAAAATATAGAGATCTCAAGAGATTGACTATTGATGCCATGAGAGAAATTGTATTTGCTCTTGTGTGTTATAGCTTTCTCTCGATGCTTTGTCCTAATTAATTCTTCATGCTGTCTTGTGATTTTTTTCAGTCTTTCTGAGTATTCCTATCCTATATAATAAAGAGGCAATATACAAATTAACCCTCATACCCTCACAAGATGGCTGCCTACAACCAGGCCAGCAGGGGGGTTAGTGAGGGATGACCAGGCCAGCAGAGGGGTTAGTGAGGGACAACCAAATGACTGAACAAGCAGGCTGCGTGGGGCAACCAGGCCGGTGGGGGCAGTTAGGGGTGACCAGGCCGGCAGGGGGGCAGTTGGGGGCTACCAGGCCAGCGGGGGGGGGGGGGGCAGTAAGAGGTGACAAGGTTGGCAGGGGGGGGCAGTTAGTGTGACCAGCCTGGCAGGGAGGGGGGCAGTTGGGGGAAATTAGGCTGGCGGGGGGCGGGGGGGGGGCAGTGAGAGGCAACTAGGCTGGCAGGGGGGGCAGTTAGGGGTGACCAGGCAGGCAGGCAGGTAAGTGATTAGGAGCCAGTAGTCAAGGATTGTGAGAGGAATGTCTGACTGCTGGTTTAGGCTAAACCGGCAGTTGGACATCCCTCAAAGGGGTTCCGGATTGGAGAGGGCGCAGGATGGGCTGAGGGGATCCTCCCCCCCTTCCTGTGCATGAATTTCGTGCACCAGGCCTCTAGTTTCCTAATAAAATCTTAACTATGAAAAAACCCTGTGATGATTAGGAAATGGACATTATTTTGTCAGTTTTCAACATACTGAACTAGTTTGTTGTTTGCAGACATTTTTTAAAATACCACAGACTCCTGTCGCCCCTTACCAGCCATGTCCTCGTCCTTAGCCCACAGGTCCTAGGCTGGGAGGCTATTTCTGGCATAACTCATTACTGGGTGGTGGGTTACCCTAATCTAGAGCCATCCTATCAAATGATCAAACAGAGAGTTATGGGGGTGGGTAGGTGGTAGTAAGAATGACATAGTATCTTTCATTGGTAAGTTATGTTTTTTTCTCTATAAATATAGTGACCGTATCAATTAAATTGGGAAAAATTATTGATAAAAATTTAGAATCTTTCATGAGTTTTTATGAAGTTCAATTCCATGCGTATTGGGGACCTTGAGGCTAAAGCACGCCCTCCACTTCTGGTCCTGAGAGCAGTGTATGTCCCCTGAGCCAGCAGGGATCAGATAGGATGCCTCACTACTTAGACCTGGGCTTCCCCTCCCAGTGTTGAGCTAAATCCCAATAATGAACAAGCTTTTGGTGAAACATGGGTGGTTTTAAGGTTCATTTCCCCAGGAACCATCAAGTTCTGCCTTCTCCATGAAGCTACCTCCATTAAAAACACAATCTCACTGTTATCTTGGTCTTTATTAAAGATAAAAACCTGACTTTAACACATTCCCATTCTGCTGGGGGGGGGGGGGGGAGGAGGGGAATTCTCATATATTGCCTCCTGCCACCCCTTGTATAGATGGAATTGATGGAAAAAATCACTCTCCCTGGCAGGTGGTCCTTAGCATGGATTTTAGCTCTTTCTCTTCAAGTATAACTAATATCTTAGTTAGCTTGGGCAGCTATAACAAATTACCAGAGACTGTTGGCTTGTAAACAACAGATTTTTATTTCTCACAGTTCTGGGGGCTGGGAAGTCCAAGATGAAGGTGCTGGCAGATCCCATGTTTGGTGAGAGCCCTCTTCCTGGCTTGCAGATGACGATCTTGCTGTGTCCTCATAAGGTAGAGAGAGATGATGTCTCTTGTGTCTCCTCTTGTAAGGGCACTAAGCCCATTCTTGACGGCCCCATCCTCGTGACATAATTACCCTCTAAAGCCCCTCCTCCAAATACTGTCACATTGAGGACTAGGGCTTCATTATATGAATTTGGGGGAACACAAGTTTTCAGTCCATAGCAGAGTGTATTCCAAAGTTTTTTGTAAAAAACAAACAAACAAAACCCAGGAACTCTGAACAGATAAAGGACACTCAGTGGGCTACAGCCATGGGGGTCCATAATGTCCTGGCTCCCGGCTCTAATCCAACATTTAACCACCTCACACATTTACTCCCATAACTGCTGCATCACTAGCAGTGGTTGCTCCAGGGACCCAATCATTCTAGGGCTTTGCAAAAAGCATGTTAACCTGTATAGGCAATCATCTCAAATTGTGCCATATCCAAGCCTGCTGTTAGGGCGAGATATCCCCGGAGCAGGTGTGAATCCACCACAGTGGGTTCCAGGCTGAAGACCTCTGAGGAGGATCATCCATGAAGACAAACTGGCTCCATGAAGTATGTTGTAAAATATGTAGTTCCTCTTCTCCTTCCCCTCCCTTGGGTTTTTTGAAGAAGAGTTTGTGTGATGTGATTAGACTCTGTCTTACTTTTTCCTTTAGGACAAAGAATGAAGTCAGTTGCTTTAGAAGAAAATATAAGCATCTTGCCATACAAAGAGGAAAACTGGGCTCTTTAGGAAATGCAGGCCCCAATTAAATAGAAACAAAGTGAAGCAGACCGCGAGTAATGGAAGCAATGATTACCTAATGGATTAAACACCTCACAGGAGAAATCTTGGACTCAGTCTGATGTAGGCTTCATAGTATGAACATCTCCCACAAACCAAAAACACTAGTGAGCCAAATCCAACTGCCAGCCTGAGTTATGATGCTTCTATGGGGCTTGAATCTATGTACCCAATATTAACAACCTATAGTCTGAATACTGTGAACCAGCTGTGCTGTGATGAGTCCAGCTAAAGGAGCGGTGTCACTGTGGAGCTGGTCTCATTTGTCATTACAAGGGTAGAGGTGGGTGGTGGGAATGAGAGACTTTCTAATACATCTGCTTTTGCTAAGATGGTTTCCTCATCTGATATTCTCTCTGGAGCAAACTGCCAGAATTAGGATCTGTCTCCTGCCATGACCTGTAGTGACCAGTGGGCGACTCACCTAAAAGGGGACTGAGCCTAGAGCATAGCAGCCTATGACGTAGGCTAGAATGTCAGCCAGAGAAAAACCCCTAAACCAAGTTGTTAAAAAAACTAGAGGCCTGGTGCACAGATTTGTGCACCAGTGGGGTCCCTCGCCTGGCCTGCACCCTCTTGCAATCTGTGACCCTTCAAGGATGTCACACTGCCAGTTTTGGCCCAGTCCCTGCAGGCCAGGCCAAGGGATCCCACTGGTGCATGAGTCTGTGCACCAGGCCTCTAGTATGCATATTAGATCTTTGGTTAATCTCTTTTTGCCCTCCCCCCTCCCTCTTCCCTCTGAGACTCATCAGTCTGTTCCATGTTTCCATGCCTGTGTGTTGAGCATCTGCCCCTTTGTGGTCAGCGTGCATCATAGCTACTGGTCCTCTGGTCTGCATCATAGCTACCGGTCCTACTGCCATTCGGCCTGGGCCAGAATTGATTAGAAATGAGCAACACACAATGGCAAGTAGGTTTAACTGGCACACTAAGCCCATCCGGCTCTCTAGATCATTGTATCTGAGCCCAACAGAAAAGAGGGCCACGTTCAGTGGCAATATCTACCATGGACCAGGGATGGAAGAGTAATAGCCATGTGCTATATATATGCCATCTCTAAACTACACACTGACATTAAAAGTCGGTGTAGAAAAGTAGGTTGGAATCTAGTAATGGAAAGCTTTGACCATTAGAATGAAGAGTCTGGCCTCTGTTTTGTGAAATTTTGTGGTTCATTTGGTCTGAACAGTAGTTCTAAAATTATGGGATGCAAATGCCTTTCACAGGATCCATTCTCTGAACACATGTATTCAGAGAGCCCTCTTCCTGGGTTGCAGAAGAGGACTCTCACTTGCCAGCAGGTCTACACAGCTCCCTGTTGTTCTCCTAAACATTCAGTCACATCTGACACTTAAATCACCTGAAAGTATTTGAGTTTGCAGTCCTGTTGGAAGAATTAGAAAACCACTGAAGGATTGTGGGCTAAAAAATAACATGCTCAAAATATATTTTAGGAAGATTATTCTTGCAGAGATGTAACAGATAGATTGGAGAAGGAAGAAAAAGAGAGTAGAAACTGCAATACCAGTTAAGAAGTCCTTGAAACCCTCCATGTAGGCTATACGTACCTAAACTACAACTGCGGGAATAAAAAGAGCTATGTTGTAGAAGTGATATCAAGGTGTAGATTGGGTGTAGGGGATGGGAAGAAGAGAGACTTCAAAATGATGTCAAAATTTAAACCTGTGGACTGGGTAGAGACTGGTGATCCAAATTTAGGCTGGAATGTGGGGAGGAAGGAGATGAGTGAATGACTATTAGAACTCAGTTCTTTTTCTGAAAATGCCACTGTTACAGATGGGCTCACTCACAACACAGTATTTCCCTGAGAAAAGCTGTGATTTGGACATGGCGTCTCATCCTTTTTTCCAAGATGAATGGAGCAAATCCAATTTGGACAGCTGGCTGGGTTAAAGGTTTAGTCTGTGGCCATGGAATAAAGCCAAATTAACTGGGATGAAATCTGTGCCCTTGACCAGAGAGCAGAGAACTCACTGGTAGTTGGCTTCAGCCATTTCTGTTATAACATCTCATCAAGTATTGGCTTCCTGTCCGTAGCTTCTTGCCAGCTGGATGGTCACCTTGCCCGACTGCCTGGCATAGCTATAGAGAGATGTGACACTGAACTTGGTTGATCCCTCATCTCTCTTGATCAAGTGTGGGACTGACAGGGTGAGGATGACAGAGAGTGGGAGAGTATGGTGAAATTAACAAGGGTGGGTACAGTTGTGCTGGATGCCTAGATTGCACCCTGTCTGTCCAATTGGTCTACGTTCCCTGCTTCATGATTCCAGATGTGGGGCTTGCTAAGGGTACATCCCCTACCCAACATTTTCTCATCAATGCTTGATGCCAAGACCCATTCTCACCTGTTAAGTTCTGGTTCATTTATCAGTTAACTTAGTGGCTTGGTATAACCTTTTCATTGTTTCTTGTGATTCCATAGGATTGACTGGGGCTTAGGTGGATGTCTCACAGGACCTTCGTGCAGCTGTGGATGAGGCTGGGACATCCAAGATGCTTCATTCACAAGTCTGGCCCTTGGCAAGGACACCTGGAAGCTGGACTCAGCTGGGCTGCTGGTGGCTGAGTCTCTTGCTCC